CCTGGGAAGGGTTTGGGAGCTGCAGGATGTCCTGACCCTCCCCTGCCTTGCCCTTAGCCCCAGGTGGAACCCCAGAGGGGACAGGATTTTATCCCAAACCCCATTTGGGGTCAGGGCTTTGTCCCAAACCCCATTTGGGGACAGGGCTTTGTCCCAAACCCCATTTGAGGACAGGGCTTTGTCCCAAACCCCATTGAGGACAGGGTTTTGTCCCAAACCCCACTGGGGACAGGTTTTTGTCCCAAACCCCATTTGGGACAGGGTTTTGTCCCAAACCCCATTTGGGACAGGGTTTTGTCCCAAACCCCAGAGGGAACAGGGCTTTGTCCCAAACCCCATTTGGGGACAGGGTTTTGTCCCAAACCCCATTGAGGACAGGGTTTTGTCCCAAACCCCATTTTGGGGCAGGGTTTTGTCCCAAACCCCATTTGGGGACAGGGTTTTGTCCCAAACCCCACTGGGGACAGGGTTTTGTCCCAAACCCCAGAGGGGACAGGTTTTTGTCCCAAACCCCACTGGGGACAGGTTTTTGTCCCAAACCCCGCGGCAGGAGGAAGAGGAGGGCTGAGCCCCAGCGTGGGGGTCACCAGGAGCCCCCAGCCCTGCTCCCCATCCCGGGGGATCGTCCCCCCAGCACTCACGCAGCTCCCCAGGAAGGACGGCGCCTGCTCCGTCAGCAGCGTCCTGAAGTCGCCGAGGCTGAGCAGGTCGATCTCGCCCTGGCGGATGCTGTACTGGTGGAAAACGTCCACCACGGTCTGCAGGGCCTTCTCCAAGGTGCAATTCCCGGGGAACTGCCGGCTCCCGGCGTGGCTGTGGCTGCTGGAGGACATGGCTGAGCTCCGGAGGTACCTGCAGGACAAACCTCGGAGTCGTGAGAGGAGACAAAAACCAGAGGCAGCTGCGCCTGGAGCCTCGTCCTGCTGGGGCTGAGCCCGGGGCACCTTCAGCTCCCCGGTGTGGAGCAGAAAATGAGGGGATTTGGGGAAATTGCCAGGATCCGGCTCCAGTTTGGCTTTTCCAGGGAAGCGGCTCCTTCCCACACACCTGGGGACGCTTTTCAGGTGAGGGCAGCAGGGTCAGGCCACCACGGGGGGTTCAGGGCACAGGGCACAGAATTAGCGGTGCCTCCACCAAGGATGGCACCAAAACGCCAAGAATTCATTTTCCAACCCAAACCGACCTCCTGCTCCACCCCGAGGTGAATCCACCGCCCTGGGCTGAGGCCGCGTCCCAAACCGCTTCTCCCTCATCGCTCTCCCTTCCAGGACCGGCCTCGTCCCACTCACCCTGGTCTCCGAGGAGGCTTTGCAGGGGATGGATCCGTCGGTGTGACCCGGGAGCCTGGACCGGCCTTTTTATACCTGTCTGAGGTCCTCTTTCATCAGAGCTGGTGACACACCTGCCACAAGCATCGGCTTGAGCTCCCATTTCCCGCACCTGGAAATTGCCAGGTGGGAACCCCGCAGCCCCTCCCGGCCTCATTCCTCCGCTCAGCAGTTCCTGGTTGCACCCACCGGCTTTGGAAATGTTCTTCTTGCCCCCTCCATCACCTCTGACAGGGCTCAGGGAGGGGAAAAACCCCGGCTTTGTCACAGCTCCACGGCGAGGGCAAGGCCGTTCGAGAAGTTGCCGAAACTTGGGGAGTTTTGCAACGCCAGGAGAAATTTGCACATTTTCCTTCTGCTGTAGGAGCAAATGGGGTTGTTTCTCCTGGAAACAGGGATGGCTTTGTCCCCTGGACGGGTTTTTAATGTGATTTCTGTTTTCTGCCAGCCCAGCTGACTGGACACCGCCCAAGACAACGCAGCAGTATTTTATAACTTGTTTTCCAGAATATTTTCCATTGTCTTCTGTTTGTGCCAGACCTCTGCTCGCGCTCCAGAGGTTTTTCTGGAGGAAACTGGGCCCAAAACCAGAAGAAAACCCAAATCAGGGTGTTCTCTGGCTGGTGCAGGAACTGCCCCGTGTTTTGCAATTGTCACCTCCGTGTCACGCGTGTTAGGGACGAGAAGGGGCAGACAATGGGGAGATTTAAAATCCGACAATGGGTGGGAGGAAGGGGGAAGGACCAGCCCAGCCCGGGGTGCCCATCCCTGTTTGGAGATGTTCCTGTGTCCCCAGGGCATTGCAGGGATTGGATTCCGGTATCCCTGACTCACTTCACTGCTGCTTTTGTTTCCCGCTCCTTTCCGAGTGTCCCCCACCCCAAAATGGAGTGTCCTCCACCCCAAACCAGTGTCCCCCACCCCAAAATGGAGT